CTTCATTGTTGAACTACCTAGTTCTAACGGTTATACGACCATTCTCATGGTTGTGGACCGTTTTTTTAAAATGGCTCATTTTATTCCTCTCAAGAAATTGCCGTCATCTCAAGACCTGGTACTAATCTTTATGCGAGAAATTGTCCGTCTGCATGGCATTCCTCACAATATAGTATCTGACAGAGGTTCTCAGTTTGTGTCTCGGTTTTGGAGGGCCTTCAATAAACAATTAGGGATTAAATTGTCTTTTTCATCCTCTTACCACCCCCAGACCAATGGTACAGCTGAGAAGGCTAACCAGTCCTTGGTCTTATATTTGCGTTGTTTCATTAATAGCACTCAAGACAATTGGTCCGAATTACTACCATGAGCCAAGTTTGCTAGGAACAATGCTGACCATGACTCCTCTGGGCATAGTCCATTTTTTGTTAATAATGGCCGGCATCCTACTGTCCTACTGGCTGTTTTTTTCTTATACAGCTATTCCTGCTCTGGATGACCGTCTGGCTTCCATCCGTGATACCTGGGTTAAAGTTCAATCTTCTCTGGGTACTGCTGCTGACCGTTTCAAGCATTATGCTGATACACGTTGAGGTGCCAACCCTGTTTACCAAGTGGGTGAGAGGGTTTGGTAATCTTCTCGTAACATCGGGCTCAAAGTCCCTAGCATGAAATTTGCTCCTAGGTTCCTTGGACCTTTTCGTGTCCTTTGTAGGATCAATCCTGTTGCGTACTCTCTGGCCCTTCCGGCCTCCTTGAAAATTCCTAATACCTTTGATGTGTCCTTGCTCAAACCTCTTGTTTGCAATAAATATACTGTCTCAAGTGTCCCTCCTCCTCCCTTAGTTGTTTCTGGACAGGAAGAGAATGAGGTCTCCTCCATAATCGATTCCAGGTTTTCTCGGGGCACATTACAGTACTTGTTGGATTGGAAAGGTTATGGAACAGCTGATCATTCTTGGGTTCCGGCATCTGAAATACATGCTGGCCGCAAAATTTGCTATTTTCACGCCAAATTTCCTCTCAAGCCTGGTTCTGCCTGCATGTTGGGCGTTCTTCAGGTGGGGGGTAATGTCACGTATTCATCGACTTATAAAAATGTGGTTAATGGCATTTACTGTCCACACAGGAAAAGTTGTGCCGAGCAGCAACCAAATCCACAGAAGGGTTAAGGCTGAGCAGCAATTATACAAATGGAACCTGGTAACTGCCTTTGGGGTCAAAGGCCGGTTACAGCCTATCAGATCTAGAGGAGGGGTATTTAGGCCCAGTTCTCATCCTGCTCAGTGCCCTGTCATGGTTTCCCTTGTGGTTGTCCGAGAGCGCGTTATTGATTCTGGTTATTCTGGTTATTTGACTTTGGCATTGTTTTTGACTTCCCTGTTTTCTGACATCCCTGACTCCTGGCTTTTCCTTATCGTTGTGTCTCTGTCCGTATCCCTTGACCTCGGCTATTCCTGACTATTCTTTGGTACGTTAGTCCGGCCATTCTAAGGTCCGGTATACGTTACCTATCAGTCCTCTATGTTACACAATTCTACATGCTGGATCACTCTGTAATTCTGACACTAGTAATGCAACTTCATTTCTACAGTAACTCGGACATTACTGAAGAAGACTGCAGTGTACTCTTTGTAGACATCTAACCTGACTATTATTGTAACAACATCTACTATCAGAACCACAAGTAGCTTACCCAGTTTCATTAGTCTTTCTACCACTACCAGCATCACCACCATAACCAAAGCTATCACCACTGCCACCACAAGCATCACTACCCTTTCTATTGGCCATGCATTACTCAACCACTCATTCCTTTCACGCAGACTAACAAAACTTTCCTACATATCCAGTCTGTAGTATTGATGACTGTCCTACAGGGTGGTGGGAAAATACAGATTTTCATTCTCCCAACTGTGTCTGCAGAAATAAGAGGTGTAGCCTCAAATCATATTTGTCAAAGGTTGGTGATAAAATGGTTAAAGGAAAAGTGTCAATATGCTTTTAGTTAAATACCTTCAGGTGTCTAGGTTCTATATATACATTTGGGTAGGGATTTTAGATCATGTAAAAGTTACTAACATTATATTTTCAGTAGTCCATATTTAGCATGTTACTTATAATACTATATTTTACTTCTTGACTAGAGTTGAGCGAATCCAGAATGTAAAGTTCGGGTTCGTACCGAACATTACG